CCATAAATACCTGCATAAATAATTTTATATATATGGCCAGGTGTTGCTTGCTTATATGCTTTGCAGTTGCTACAAGTTTGTATAATGGGCCATGGATAGTAACTCCCTTTGATGGAACTGACACGCATCCTGACAAATGTGATATTCAGTACCAGAATAATTTGGAGAATTTGTACAGTTACTGTAATATAAGAAATATTGACCACTGAGGAAGGGCCCGTAGGGGCCGAAACGCGTATGGTCCTTAAGTCAAAAGTTTTATCCATCAATTGGATATGTACAACAATCAGTTCTGAATGAAATAAGCTTAAAGAGTCTGATATTGAAACTATTTCTTTTAACCTTATGTATGTTTTGTTTATGTGTACACCTTAATAAACATTTGGATTTTTATATATATATATTTTTGTTAGCTTGGTCCAGCAGTGGGGCCAGGACACTAGAAGCCCTCCCACTGTTGCCCACCCCCCAAGCACCAAGAATACAGAGTATCACTCGCCCCAGACCGAGAGTTCTTGTCTATACCTTGTGGCTAATAGCCATTGATGGACCTCTGTTCCATATGCTTATCCAATTAGTTATCCAAGCAGTTGATCCCGGTTTAAGCAGTTAGTGGGGCCACGAAAATATAGGATGGACTTGCTGAGGGTGGCTGCATGGTAGTCCTTCTATTGGTCACCTGGGTGTGTGGAAATAACACGTTGCCAACCTCCAGGTGGTGGCTGGAGATTTCCTGGGGTTAAAACTGAGCTCCAGGCAACAGATATCTGTTCAGCTGGAGCAAATGGACAGTTTTGGAAGCCCAGAGTGCAGACTCTAATCTGGGAGAGCCAGGTTTGATTCCCCACGCCTCCACATACAGCTGCTGGTGTGACTTTGGGTCAGTCACAAGTTCTGTTGTGGGGAGGGGAAGGGAAAGGAGTTTGTAAGCTGCTCTGAGACTCCAAGTGAAGGGCGGGATATAAATCCAATCTCTTCTCTCTTCTTCTTCAGAGCTGTTCTGTTAAGGGCAGTCCTCGAAAGAGCTCTCAGCCCCACCTACCTCACAGGCAATGCTCCCTCTAAGCTGTGGCGTCTTGTGAGCAAAAATTCTACTTTGTGAGCCACTGGCATTCAAGTTGTCAGCGAGCGATTTGACTACTGCATAAATTAGTTTGCTCTGGAGCCCTCCTTCCTGAACTGAGACAAAAATCTGTGAGCCGGAGGCTGTGACCTAGCTCACACTAACTTAGCTTAGAGGGAACACTGGTTAGGGCACGTAAAGGGTTTCGTTTGAAGGAGCAGGGACTCTATTGGAGGGAGCCCTGGGCCAAGGATGAGGAATTAGCACACAGGACGTCTCAGGGGTTCCGGAAGGGGCTCTGTGCGGTGCAAAGTTGTGTGGATTATTTTGGCAGCCCACTTCTGGGTTGGGGGGGGGAGCTCAGGGACCACAGCTGTGGAAGAGGAGGCCGCAGCAGTCAAGAGGGGAGCCGAGTGCTAAAGTTGGCATTTCTTAGGACCAACTTACACATCGCACCCTGGCAAGGAAGTGTCTTGCGTTGGCCAGAAAGCCAGGACATTCAGCAAAAACAGGAATTCTTTTCAAAAGTGGGGGAAGACGTGTGTTTTTTTCAAGAGCACGCAGGGCCCAGGCGCCCTCTGCTGTTTCCACGCTGCTGACAGATCACTATGTGTGGATGTTGAAAGGTGGACGATGAAGAAAGCAGACGGGAAGAACGACAATTCATTTGAAATGTGGTGTTGAGGGAGAGTTTTATGGATACTGTGGACTGTCAGAAAGACAAATCAGTAGGTTCTAGATCAGATTAAGCCTGAAGTCTCCCTAGAAGCTAAAATGACTAAACTGAGGCTATTGTACTTTGGGCACATTATGAGAAGACAAGAGTCACTGGCAGGGCTCTTTTTGTAGAAAAAGCCCAGCAGGAACTCATTAGCATAATAGGCCACACCCAACACCAGAAACCTATTAGCATATTAGGCCACACCCCTGCCAGCACAGCTCATTAGCACATTAGGACACACCCCCGTGTTACCAGAAGTGTGGTTATCCAGCCACACGTACCTTTTGCTTGTTGTTCTGTTTACCTTGTTGTCAAAACCCAGGGCTTTTTTTGTAGCAGGAACTCCTTTGCATGTTAGGCCACACACCCCTAATGAAGCCAATCCAAATGGATTTCTGCTGTTGGGTGTGGCCTATTATGCTAATGAGTTCCTGCTGGGCGTAGCCAACCTGGGAGCCAGCCGGAACTCCGTTCCTGTGCGTTCCTGCCCAAAAATAGCCCTGGTCACTGGGAAAGACAATAAGGCTAGGGAAAGTTGAAGAGGACGACCCAACGAGATGGACTGACTCAAATGAAGGAAGCCACGGCCCTCACTCTTTGCAAGACCTGAGGCAAGGCTGTTAATGACAGGGCATTTTGGAGGACATTAATTCATAAGGTCGCCAGAAGCCAGAAGCGACTTGACAGCTCTTAACGTACACATGATTTAGATATATTTTAAACATATTCAACATGTCAAAACAGGCACACACACAGATCTTTCTCCAATTTATCACCCAGGGACAAGGCAGCTTTGTCTTAATACTGGAATGTTCAGGCTTGCCTTAGGTGGAATAAGACAGAAGTCCAGTCACACCTTAAAAAACTAACGTTTAATTCAATATGAGCTTTTGTGAGTCACTTCAGGTATGGGGAGATCAAACTCATAATCCTACATAAGGGTCAAGAAGGAGTTAAGGCAGAGAGGGATTTCCATCATGAACTGTTCAAGTGTACATCTGTGTGAGGGGAAAAGAAGCTAAGGAAGGTTGGGTGTGAGTCCAATCTTAAAACTTCATAGTGTGAGCTCTCCATACAGGTGAACCGGAACAGCAGTTACTAATAATGGATGATGAGGGAAGTCAGAGGTTTGAAGAGATGAGCAAGGTTGTGCCTTTGAGTGAAAATCCCAGTATAAAGTCACAGTCTGATCAAACATGTTACAAACGGGCAGTCAAAAAGTTTCCTCATAGGGAGTCCTGCAGAGCTTTTGGAGATTGTATTGACCACAGACATGAAGGTCTCTGTTTAAGTGGGAATGACATGTGGGGATACGTTTTCATGATGAATTCTCATTTCCGTTATTTCCCAAGCACTTGAAGTATGGGGGGGGGCGCGAGGGGAGAGGGACAGTAAATCAGTGGCCTGCAGGTCCGTCATAGTAGCCAGAAAGCAGTGGGAAAGGCCTTAATCTCCCTTGACATACCAGAACTGAGTCACCTCTGGGTTCAAAAATACCTGGAAATTTGAGGTGGAATCTGAGAAGGTGGGGGTTAGAGAGGTGAGATTAGAGTCCAGTGGCACCTTGAGGACCAACACGTTTTTATTCAAGATGTGAGCACGCACACTTCGTCAGAGGATGAAATGGAATTACATGTCATCTATCTTATTGTATACCTAACTACTGCAGCCAGAATTTTATATGCTAAATACTGGAAGATATCAGAGATACCTACAAAACAAGAGTATATAAATAAAGTCTTGGAAGCAGCAGAAATGGACAAATTGACTTTATTGATGAAAGGAACTCCGGACTTCAACATTCCAGAACACATGGACAGATTTTATAGTTGGTACAATAAATATGTTTAGGCTGTAATAATTAAAGGACTGTAATACAAAAGATGTAGCATGTTTGATATAACCCAATAAGGTAGAAATTTAACGGTATTTACAATTCATAAAAGTAGGAAGAAATGTTTGCATTTAGGCTTAAAACCTGTATTAACTATGAAGATTTAACACCTCCGTCAATGTTTTGTTTGTTTGTATGTTAAGTCTGTAATGTCATTAAAATTAATAAAATTTTGCTCTTTGGGGCAATTATAATAATAAGAAAAGGAATTGCATGTCATAGTTGTATATATAGGGGTGGCTTGTTAAATTAGCATGCAAAATAGTGAAAACATTTTTAACAGATCAAAAGAATGACATGCTCGGTTTCTGGTTATCATCTGTTTCGGTTCAACTAAGGGGGATGACGACAACATAGTTAATAAATATGTTAGAACTGGAGATTGATGTGTCCTAATTTGTGAGAATCCCGTCCTTAGACCCCCCCATCCATCTCCTTTCTAGCGAGGCGAACTTTACAGCGTCTTGGCTGTGCAGAGTATTTTCCTTGTTCTCTGTTTTGGGCACAGATGATAACCAGAAACCGAGCATGTCATTCTTTTGATTTTTTTTTTTAAAAATCCACTATTTTGTATGCTAATTTAACAAGCCACCCCTATGTATACAGCTATGATATGTAATTCCATTTCATAGCCTGGCAAAGTGTGCATGCACACGAAAGCTCACATCTTGAATAAAAATGTGTTGGTCTTTTTTTATATATAATTTAAAGTTTTATTGAAGTTATTCAAAATATACATCAAGTATGAATTAAAGAAACAACTTCACTTTTTTGTGTTTGTACAATAAGACAAAATGAAAAATGTTAAAGAAGCAGAAGTATTTTAAAGCAAACTTGATCAGAACTAGCTACATTCAACTAGAGATAGCAGAATAACCTTTTGTAAGTTCAAATACACATTGTCATATGGGTGCTAATTAAGGACTATAAAGGTATTGGGTAACTCAGTTGTCAGACGTTTGATACAGCTACTAGAGCAACATTGACATAAAAAACAGAACATTGATATAACTAAGTGATACTTAAATGGTTTTGTTCACTTGTCAATGATTTGCCTTCAGATCCATCTTATGTAGTCTGTCCAGGAGAGGGGTATATAAGGTGCCACTGGACTGTAACTTCGTTTCAGAGATGCAGGGACAGGTAGAACGCAAAACACAGGCATCTATCCCTCCCCGCCTCCCGTCCACCCCCGAGGAAACGAACGAAGGTGCGAGAATGGCGACGGAAGTAGGGATCCCTTTAACGGAAGTCCGCTCTGGGAGCTCCCGAGGCAACTCTGTCGTCTCCGCGTGTCCTTTCCCTTTTGGGTCTTGAGCAGCGGCGCGTGCGCGCGGCGGCGGCTCAAGATGGCGGCGGCCGGAGGCCCCGTGGAGGTGGCGCTGGTGGCGGTTGCCGAGGCGACGGCAGGAGCAGCAGCAGCGGGCGGCGTGGCCTCCTCCTCCTCTTCGCCCGGCGGCGCTTGCTGCTGGGTGTGGGAAGTGGGCTCCGGGGCGATCCTGGCCGGCTACCGCGGAGGGAGCTTCGCCGCCCGAGGGTTGGCGCTGCTTGGCGGGGAGCATCTCTTAGGGGCGCAGCTCGGCAAGGCCTGGCTGGGCGCCTGGGAGCTTCAGAGGAAGGTGAGCCGGAGGGAGGGAGGGCGCCCACTGGGCTGGGTTCTCCCTCCTCCAAGCATCTCGGGGATGGCTGGGAGCAATGCTCCCCCTAAACTGTGGAGCCTTGTGGGCAAAAATTCTACTATGTGAGCTCCTGGCATTAAAGGCGTGAGCGAGCGACTTGGCTACTGCAGAAATTAGTCTACTCTGGAGCTCTCCTTCCTGAGCTGAGACAAAAATGTGTGCACCGGAGACTAAAAACCTGTGAGCTAGCTCACACTAACTCAGCTTAGAGGGAAAACTGCTCTGGCGCCATCCTTCGCGAGCCAAGACGAAAATGTGTGTACCGGAGACTAAAAAAACCCTGTGAGCTAACTCACACTAACTCAGCTTAGAGGGAACACTGCTCTGGAGCCATTCTTCCCGAGCCGAGACAAAAATGTGTGTGCCGGAGGCTAAAAAACCTGTGAGCTAGCTCACACTAACTCAGCTTAGAGGGAACACTTCTCTGGAGCCATCCTTCCCGAGCCAAGACAAAAATGTGTGCGCTGAAGGCTGAAAAAAACCCTGTGAGCTAGCTCACACTAACTCAGCTTAGAGGGAACACTGCCTGGGAGTTAGGATGCCAGACACGCGCAAAAAAGGATGTTTACTCTTCTTAAGGTGTGTCAGGTAGGAATTTTGGGCCCAGTGGCACCTTTTAAGAGCAACGGGGGTTTATTCAAAGTATGAGCTTTCTTGTGCACACACACTTTTTCAAATACTTAAAAAAAAGTATTTGAGGAAAAAAGTGTTTGAAAAATTGGTGCGGGCACACGAAAGTGCATACCTTGAATGAACCTCTGTTAGTCTTAAAGGTGCCACTGAACTGTACATTTGACACCCACCCACCCCCGTCCAAGCCAGAAGAAGTTACAAGGTGAGAGAAGAAGGGCATGCAGAAAGTGATCGTAGTGATAGATGTGAACAACTGTGTTGGTCCAAAGCGGCAGAACAAAGCTTGAGTCCATTGGCAGCTTTAAAACCAGCAATATTTATTCAAGGTATGAGCTTTTGTGTGCACACACACTTCCTCAGATACAGTGAAATGGAAGATGCCGCATCTGCCTATATATATATATATGAACTGTTACCTTCCATTTCAGTATATCTGAGGAAGTGTACGTGCACACGAAAGGGTCATACCTTGAATACACTTTTTTTGGTTTTAAAGGTGCTACCGGACTCTAAATTTGTTCTACTGCTTCACAGTAGTGCCCGCACCAACATGGCTGACTACCTGGATCTTTATAGGAATTTTATCACCCTATGCTCACAAGTGCTTGTATTCCTCGGTGAGTGGGTGGGTGATGTGTGTCTGGAAGGCCGGAGAGAAGGAGCAAAAGGTGGAATGTCTCCCACACAAAAGGAGCTGCAGGAAAAAAGAGGAAATGCATAGAGGCCCATCCCTCACAAGTCTAATATTTGCCCAACTTCTGCACTAGAACTGGCTTCTGGATAGACTAGGGCCATGCAGGTGAAGATTGCTGCTTGCCGTGAAGTTTACTAGTACTGCTATGTAGTAGTAAGATTTTGTTGTATATGGCCATTGACCTTTACAAGTTAAAACAAGTTAAAATATATTTACAAGTTAAAATATGTGTTCATTGGCCTTTACAAGTTAAAACATATCTACAGCCAAAAGATTTTAAAATTCTAAAATTACAGGCATCTTTAAAATGTCTCAGTTCACACTCAAACCCCAAAATTACAGTCCCGTTCTGTTAGATACTTTCTTGGAAAGCCCGTTTGCTCTAATTTTCCTAGCAGCCAAGGGGGAAAAGTGCCATCTTGTTGGAGTTAGAGGAATCTGCATCAGATAATGTATAAGCTAGTTTATCAAAATCAGGGGGGAAATGTAGAGTAGTTAAGATCCTAGCTGGGAATTTATCCCTGGGCTAGGCCAAAACGTAGTGGAGAAAGTCTTCTACTGAACTTCCACGTATACGAATGCATTGTTCCTTTGGAATATCATCCAGCAAGTAGCTCAGTTGGCATTATTTGAAAGTGCAATGAAATAAATGCTGTTCTAAGATTATATGCTGTTGTGTCAACCAAGAAGAAGAAGAGATTGGATTTATACCCCGCCCTTCGCTACCCAAGGGAGTCTCAGAGCGGCTTACAAACTCCTTTCCCTCCCCCTCCCCACAACAGACACCCTGTGAGCAATGCTCCCACTAAGCTGTAGAATCTTATGAGCAAAAATTCTACTTTGTTAGCTACTGGCATTAAAGTTGTGAGAGTGATTTGGTTCCTGCATAAATTAGTTTGCTCTGGGGAGCCATTCTTCCTGAGCTAAGACAAAAATGTGTGAGCCGGAGGCTAAATAACTGTGAGCTAGCTCACACTAACTCAGCTTAGAGGGGACACTGCCTGTGAGGTAGGTGGGGCTGAGAGAGCTCTGACAGAAACTGCTCTTTTTCAAGAACAGCTGTGCCAGAACTATGGCTTGCCCAAGGTCATCCAGCCAGGTGCAAGTGGAGGAGTGGGGAATCAAACCCAGTTCTCCCAGATTAGAGTTTGCGCACTTAAATACTACACCACACTGGGTCAAAACCAAGTAAGGGGCTCTAAGATGGTCTTTTTAAAATAAATTTGTACCATGGAGCAAACTTGAACTGGATAATTAGTGAGTTGTCAATTAAAATGTCCCCTAGGTTACCCTGGGCCTACCATTCTTTTACAGCTCCACCTACCTTGCAGGGGTGGTGTGATAAAATGAAAGAAGAGAGAGCCACGTATGGCATCCAGAGTGCCCCAGAGGGAGGATGAGATAAAAATGTACTACAAATGTACTATTTTTTATAAAGCGCAAGTGTATGGCTTACACCTGGCTGAGGATTTGGGGAGCAGATCAACATAACTTGTGCTTTCAGATTCGCCAAGAATAATTTCTCTTTTCACGCTCAGGCCCCAGTTCTATGAGTTGTTCCATGAGAGAGTGCCTCTTTGACTACTACTTTCTGCTTTGGGAGGCGATGTGGTGAATCTGGCATCTTTCTGGAATGTTGCTTTGTTTTGTAATCAGCTGAAGCCGCTGACCCACTCTTGGCTTTGCTGTTCCCAAAAAATGAGGGCACTTCCTTGATCCTCAAAAGACAAAAAGGTCCCCATTCCCCCCCCCCCAACCATTCCGGTTGCATACAAGCAGGGGTAAAGCAGCACATAATCTTAACTCTCCCTCTGTCTCATTAGTGCTGTGAAACAAGTGCTAAATTAAAGCCAATCTGTTTCAGACCAGCACCTATTTTACAATGTAATGCCAGGTACCAGAGATATAAACTTTATAAAGGACACAGGCAAACCCAATTAGCAATAACATTTTTTACTCAAAATGCAAACAAAAGCAATTGATTCCTAGCAGTGAAAGCAATTGATTTGCCGTGGAACCCACAAAAGCCCCAATAAATGTATTTAATCATATGCAAGGCTAGTGTTTTTTTTCCAAAGGATACCATAAAAGGGGCAGTACTTTACATTTCCATACGTACCACTTACTTGCAGGCCAGGTAAGAGCCCTGGATGGGCTGGTTCTGGTCCCCGGGCCTTATGTTTGACATCCCTGAACTAAGCCATGCAACTCTTGAGCAGTGCTCCCTCTAAGCTGCAGAGTCTTGTGAGCAAAAATTCTACTTTGTGAGCTACTGGCATTCAAATTGTGGGCAAGTGATTTGGCTGCTTCATAATTGGTTTTCTCTGGAGCCATCCTCCCTGAGCTAAGTCAAAAATCTGTGAGCCGGAGGCCAAAAAACTGTGAGCTAGCTCACACTAACTCAGCTTAGAGGGAACACTGCTCTTGAGGTGTGTAAGGCTAGAACTATGTATGCTCAGCTGCTCCCATCACAACTTTGGGCTCAGGAAGCCTCTTGAAGACAAGCATCTTTCTGTTCTCTGTTTAAAACAGAAGCTGATGTTCTGGGGTGAAGAGGCTGATCTGGGTTGTGTGTAAGAACCTCACAAAGATGAGGAGTGGGGTCAGAGGCCTGGTGATGCTGAACCAGAGCGAGGTTCCAACCTTCTTTTGACAGCAGCTGGACATCTTGGGGACGTTCACCCGCAACCCCTAAGACAGTGGCCTGCCCTTATCGCTTCTTGGCTGCTGTGATTCAAAGGTGTAGTTCGGTGTAGCCAGTTTGGTGTAGTGGTTAAGTGCATGGACTCTAATCTGGGAGAACCGGGTTTGATTCCCCCACTCTTCCACTTGCTGGATGACTTTGGGCAAGCCGTAGTTCTGCCAGAGCTGTCCTTGAAAAAGAGCAGTTTCTGTCAGAGCTCTCTCAGCCCCACCGACCTCACAGGCAATGACTTTTCTGGGCCTTGAGACTGCCCAAATGCAGATTATGCTTTTGCACTTAAATTCAGTAATTGGATGGTCCATCTTCACCCTAGGGCAGCTTCTGCCTCGTGTGTCTCCTTCTCCCAATGTTTCTCCTCTTTCTCCGCCCTGAGTATGCATTCCTTGGGGGGTGGGAGGGAAGGTCAAGGTATACTGCACCTAGGCTTACCAAGGTCCGGCGGGGGATTTGTATTTCTTGCCAGGAGCCTTGCCGCGGGGACGGCTGCACACGTTGCACCCGCCGTCGCCAGGATGTGACGCTCCGCGTTGCTCTGGCAACGGGGCTGTTTGGAGTCCCATTGCCAGAGCGACGTGGAGCGTCACATCCTGGCGATGGCGGGTGCAGCGCATGCAGCCGTCCCCGCAGCAACGCTCCTGGCAAGAAATACAAATCCCCCGCCGGACCTTGGTAAGCCTAACTGCACCTGTTACAAGGATCTGCTGTACTCCCCCCCCCCCCGATGTTGGTTTTGATGGGAGTTTAGATCCGGGGTGTCAGACATGCGGCCCGGGGGCTGGATCAGGCCCCCCGGAGGGCATCTATCAGGCCCGCAGTGGAACTGGCTGTCTTCCGCTTCCAGTTCTCCTGCTGCTGCGTCATCGTAGGTTTGCAGCTTACAGAGAGACACCTGAACAACATACTCAGTATTGCAACAGCACAGACATTCTGATGCAGTAATTCAGAGCAAGAGGTGTCCGTTATCAGACACTGTGCTATAAACAAAATATTGCAAGAGTGCTAATGTTTTAAACACGTCTTTATTTTAAGTTTAAAACCCCCCCTTTGTGTTTGTGTCCTTTATGAAGTTTATATCTCCGCTACCTGGCATTACATGTTATGGCACACGTGGCCCGGCCCAACAAGGTCTCATTTATGTCAGATCCGGCCCTCATAACAAATGAGTTCGACGCCCCTGGTTTAGATACTTGCCCAGCTCCATTTCTTAACAGTGTAGTGTCAGTAGCAGGATGCCGGAATTGGCCTGCCCTGAATTTAAAATACTTTGATTTGGAAAACTGAAGGCCTTGTGAGTGACTGAGGGAGGAATCTCTAAGCACACCGGGGAATTTAGCATCCGTCTTCTAATGGCGCCGTTTGGCTTTGGCTTTCTCTGTGGTGCACGCACACATGTGGGTCCAAGATTTCTTGCAGGTCTTTGCCATAATGACTCACAGCCTGGGTGGCCCCCTCTGTATCCATCCCCCAGCACGGCTTGCCAGTAAGGTCTTTGGCCACAAATGCCACTTTCTGCACACTCTTCAGCTCCCGGCTAGCAAAACGGTGGAGCCAAGGGAGAAACTATAGATGGGGGGTGGGGGCTTGTACTGCTAAGAGGCAGACAGGTTCTTTTCCACTAAGGGATCTGAACGCAGTAAGCACAAGAGTGGTGAAAAATGGTTTCATTGAAATCTCCCTCTGTGCTGAGAAATCAACAAGTCACAAGAATAAACAGAGAGTAAAGCAGAGAATATACCCACGCCAATGCTCCCTCTAAGCTGTGGAGTCTTGTGAGCAAAAATTCTCCTTTGTGAGCTGCTGGCATTAAAGTTGTGAGCGAGCCATTTGGCGACTGCATCCATTAGTTTGCTCTGGAGCCATCCTTCCTGAGCTAAGACAAAAATGTGTGAGCCGGAGGCTAAAACACGGTGAGCTAGCTCATACTAATTCAGCTTAGAGGGAACACTGACCTACACCCTTATTGCTACAGGAGCCTTAGCTCAGGCTGGACCGTGGAGCAGCTCTGTGAGCTGAACGCATCCAGTGCTGAGCTGCAGTCCACCCGCTGCCATTCTTCAGGGGATTAGATAAGACTCATGGAGGAAAAGTCTATCAATGGCTACTAGCCATGGTGACTGAGGGGAACCTCCGCATTCAGAGGCACTGATCCTCTGAATCCCAGAGCCAGGAGGCGATATCAGGGGAAGGCCTCAGCCAGTTTGGTATAGTGGTTAAGAGCGCGGACTCTAATATGGGAGAACCAGGTTTGATTCCCTGCTCCACATGCAGCTGCTGCTGTGACCTTGGGTCAATCACAAGTTCTTTCAGAGCTGTTCTCTCGAGGGCAGCTCTCAAAAGAGCTCTCTCAGCCCCACCTACCTCACAGGGTGCCTGTTGTGCGGAGGGGAGAGGAAGGGAAATTACTCTCAACTCCCCGCAGAGCCTGCAAGACGGAGCTCTTCCACCAGGCCTTTAGTTAAGGAGCCGCACCCAACACACCAAGGCCCTGTGCCCAATGCCACCATCGACAGCCTGAGCTTCGCCGACTTTAAAATCAGTTACCGACTGCATTTACTAGTGTGTTGATGCTACCCTGCTTTCGCCATTGCCACTTAAATTGTTCACCAGCACCTTATGTTGTGTTTTTAAGCTTTTATTTTCATTGGTGTTTTAACTACTGCGTTTTATGTAAGCCGCCCTGAGCCTGCTCCGGCAGGGAGGGCAGGGAATAAATCAAATAAATAAAGGCGATTGTAAGCCACTCTGAGACTCCTTCAGGTAGTGAAGGGCAGGGTATAAATCCAAACTCTTTTTCTTCTGTGCCCTGTCGTTGGCCCTCCAGAGGAATTGGCGGGCCACTGTGTAAGGCAGGATGGTGGACTAGACGGACTATCGGTCTGATCCAGCAGGGCTCTTCTTATGTTCCAGTAGCAGAAGGGGTGGTGTGGGTATATTCTCTGTTTTACTCTGTTTATTTCTGTGACTCGTTGATTTCTCAGCACAGAGAGAGATCTCAGTAAAACCATGTTTGACCACCGGTGTGCTTCTGGCCGTCGAATCCCTTAATGGAAAAGAACCTTTTTGCCTCTTGGCAATGCAGGGCTGTCTTTGCTGACAGTTTATAACACAGAGATGATGAATGAGGGGTTGGAAATGGAGCGGGATGTAGCCACTGACGACATCTGTTCTGGGAAGGAAAAGCCCTGCGTGTTTCTGCCCAGCCAGGCTGGCGGAGAAGGTCTCGCTTTCGCTCCCCCACCCCCGGGGGGGGGGGGGGTGGCTGTCTCCTCTCTCCTCTCCCACACATCCGCATGGGCACTCTCTGCCAGCTCGAATGCATCCCTGCCTTTTCTCCTTAGGATCAGCTCCAGCAGAAGATCATCTGCCCCGGGCTGGTGTCCTGCCTGACCGCCGCTCCCAATGGCCTCTACGTCCTGGCGGGCATTGCCGAAAGCATCTACCTCTGGGAGGTAAGCAGAGGCCGCGGGTGGGGGAGAGGACGGCAGCCTGCCTGGACGGCTGGAGCTCGAAGGCTGCGTTTGTGTTTCCGCTCCGCGGATGGGGGCAACTGCTCTGTGATGTCCTTGCCCTCCTCCCTTAAGTCGAGCCAGAAAACCGCCAGACTTTTAATCCCTCCACCGTCCACCAGGTGCGCAGTCGTCGGGAGGATGTGCCTCAGGAGGCGGTGAGCTGTCAGCTCTGCAGCTACCATGGACTGGGGGGGGGGGGATGCTGAACACTGGATAAAATTGTCTCTGTCTCTTTCTCTGGAAGGTTTAGTTTCACTTCTCCCTGCCTCCTTATCGCCTATTAGTCTGAGCTGGTGACCATGGTGCCCTGTTACTCCTTTCCCCTGGGAATGCTTACCCGTTAGGTTAGGCGGGCTCTGGCTTGACTCCTGATTGGCCCCGAGCCACCCACTGACCCTTTTTGATTTCTGTATGTCACTAGACTTACGCGCGCTTGCTTTTAGTCTGGACAATGAACGTGTGCTCAGAAGACCTGCCTTTACTGTACTCAATAAATGTGAACCTCTTGAAGGAGCGTTGTTGAGAACTGATTGCTGCGGGACCCTGACATGGGCTCCCCCTCCCTGGCAGTCTTTAAGCAGCGGCTGGACAAACCCTTGTCAGGGATGCTCTAGGCTGGTCCTACATTGAGCAGGGGGTTGGGCTAGATGGCCTGGATGGCCCCTCCCGACGCTGTGATGCTATGACAGAACAGATTTTGAGCCCAGTGGCACCTTTGTGACCAATGAAGTTTCATTCAAACAGATAACTATTATTGCTTTAAATGCTGTATGAATTGGAATTTGGTGGTTTTGTTGACATTGGTGGTTAAGTTGCAATGTGAACCCTAATGGTTGTGTGAGTGTATATGAGTATGGTTGTGTGAGTGTATATGAGTATGCTTGTAGATCACCGAATGATTGCACCTTAATTTCGTTGTACTATGTACAATGACAATAAAGTATATTATTATTATTATTATTATTCTGGGCTGAGTGACTTGGGAATGTTCAGTCCGGAGAAGGGGAGGTTGGAGGGGGGGGACAGGATGGCTCTCTTGAAGTATCTGAAGGGCTGTCGCTTAGAAGAGGAGGGCAGGGAGCTGTTCCTGTTGGCAGCAGAGGAGAGGACTCGCAATCATGGGTTTAAATTACAGGCCAAAAGGTACCAGCTGGATATCAGGGAAAGCTTTTTGACAGTCAGCGTCGTGCAGCAGTGGAATCGGCTGCCTCCGGAGGTGGTGAGCTCCCCCTCCCTGACAGTCTTTAAGCAGCGGCTGGACAAACACTCGTCAGGGATGCTCTAGGCTGGTCCTGCGTTGAGCAGGGAGTTGGAGTAGGTGGCCTGCATGGCCCCTTCTGACTCTGTGATTCTGTGATGCTATGACAGAACAGATTTTGAGTCCAGTGGCACCTTTATGACCAACGAAGTTTCATTCCGGGTTGAGGGACTTGGGAAGGTTCAGTCCGGAGAAGAGGAGGTGGAGGGGGGACAGTCTTGGAGTATCTGAAGGGCTGTCCCTTGGAGGAGGAGGGCAGGGAGCTGTTCCCGGGGGCAGCAGAGGAGAGGGACTGGCAATGATGGGTTTAAATGAAGGGCCGGGTAGGTACCGACTGGATCTTAGGAAAAACTGTTTTTACAGTCAGAGTTGTGCCACAGTGGAATCGGCTGCCTCGGGAGGTGGCGAGCTCCCCCTCCCTGGCGGTCTTTAAGCAGCGGCTGGACAAACACTCGTCAGGGATGCTCTGGGCTAGTCCTGCATTGAGCTGGGGGTGAACTAGATGGTCTGGATGGCTCCTTCCAACTCTGCGATTCTGTGATTCTAGCGTCATCGGGTGCCCCGGTTATAAAAATAAAAATAAAAATCCAGACCTAAAAATAGCTATTTCAGCAAAAGCAGTGTGATAACAGGTTTATTTGGGATTTAACCACAGAGTCTACAGATCTCCGGCATAGAACCTGTTTGCTTGATATTTATTTATTTATTTATTCTTTAGATTTGTATCCCGCCCTCCCCGAAGGCTCAGGGCGGCTAACAAGGGCATAAATGCCTAATAAAACAATAAAAACAGTATAAAAAATACAATACAATATACAACATAATACAATCAATAAAATATCGGTGCTCTACTACTCGCTCCAATTCATAAATCAAGATGGTATTCTGCAGCTGTATATCAATCCAACGACCAGATGGCCCTCAGCCATCTCCTTAATATTAGGTTGGATTCCTTATTTGTTGGGCACAGCTTTTTAAAAAAGGGGGGGGGAGCGGAATTTGGGATTTTATCCTCAGGGCAGGGAGAGCAGCATAAATCAAGTTCCCACTTCTGGCGCCTGTGCTCAAAAGAAGGGGCAGCCTGCTGTCCCAGAAGCCCCCATTCTGGTCCCAAAGCTCTGAATGCCCCCCTCCCCATCAGTAGATCGTTCCCTAGAGCAAACCCCTTGTTGGTAATTGCTGCACTAGACCTCTCCCCGGCCCACCCTTTACGGCAGGAGTCCCCAACCTTTTTTGAGCCCCTGAGCACCTTTGGAGGGCACAGACACAAAAAGTCTGCCATAGGAGGTGGCGCCAACCTCGAAATGTCACAGAGCTAGGTTGTATATAACTAATAGTAGTTTCTTTTGAAGGGGCCGCAGTGGCTCAGAGGTTAAGACACTGAAGCTGCAGACCGGAAGGTCGGTAGTTCGGCAGTTCGAGACCCCAGTGCCGCGTGACAGAGTGAGCTTCGGTCTCTGGTCCCAGCTCCTGCCAGCCTAGCAGTTTGAAAGCAAGAAATTGCAAGTAGGTAAATAGATACCACTGCGGTGGGAAGGTAACAGCGTTCCGTGCGCCTCGGCGTCTAGTCATGCCGGCCACATGACCACGGAAACGTCTTCGGGCAGCGCTGGCTCTTTGGCTTGAAAACGGCAATGAGCACCGCCCCCTAGAGTCGGATTCGACTGCCTTTCGAGCAAGGGAAACCTTTGCTTTTTCAGTTTGTTTTTGACGTTTCAAGCAGACGCTCTGTTTAACAAGGATGCCTTTTAATCTGCACAGTCAGTCAGAAGCCCCACCGGGCAAATGCCTCACATAGCGCCTCCCACTTTCTGAAAGCCCTTGGCAGGCGCCTAGAAAGGGGTCGGTGGGCGCCAATGTTCCCTCTGAATTGTGGGGTCTTGTGAGCAAACCTTCTACTTTGTGAGCTACTGGCACTAAAGTTGTGAGTGAGCAATTTGGCTGCTGCATAAACTAGTTTGCTCTGGAGCCCTCCTTCCTGAGCGAAGGCAAAAATGTGTGAGCCAGAGGCTAAAAAACTGTGAGCTAGCTCACACTAACTCAGCTTAGAGGGAACACTGGTGCCCGTGGGCACCGTGTTGGGGACCCCTGCTTTACAGGATTTTTTTCCTTCTCTACTGGGTTGCAGATTCTAAGTGTGCCACAAGAGGGCAGGAGCACTCTTCTCATTGAGGCATAAGAACACAAGTGAACATAAGAGACGGCAATGTTGGATCAGGCCAATGGCCCATCCAGTCCAACACTCTGTCACACAGTGGCCAAAAATACCCAGGTGCCATCAGGAGGTCCAGCAGTGGGGCCAGGACACCAGAAGCCCCCCTCCCCAGTACCAAGAATACAGAGCATCACTTGCCCCAGAGTTCCTATCCACAACTTGTGGCTAATAGCCACTGATGGACTTCTGTTCCATATGATTATCTAATTCCCTCTTGAAGCCGTCCATGCTTGTAGCCGGCACCTCCTGTAGCTGTGAATTCCATGTGTTAATCACTCTTTGGGTGAAGAAGTAGTTCCTTTTATCTGTTCTAACCTGACTGCTCAGCAATTTCACGGAGTGCCCACCACCAGTTCTTGTATTGTGAGAAAGGGAGAAAAGTACTCCTTTCTCGACCTGCTCTACCCCATGCATAATCTTATAAACCTCAATCATGTCACCCCTCAGCCGTGGTTTCTCCAAGCTAAAGAGCCCCAAGCGCTTTAACCCTTCTTCACAGGGAAAGTGCTCCAACCCTTTTATCATTCTACTTACCATTTTCTGCACTTTTTCCAATGCTGTAACATCCTTTTTGAGGTGCGGTGACCAGAACTGTACAGAACTGTACACAGTACAGCATACTGAGTTCTAATTCTGTTTCTTAGAGAAGATTTGGAAGTTGTTTGTTTGGGTTGTGAGTCGAACTGCTTGGATATCCTCCGTTCTCTGTGGCTTTCAAGTGTTTGACTAGTTATCGTGTATGAGAGGATGCAGGGGCTTACCTCCCATGAACTATTTTTCCTCTTTGACAGCAATCTCCCTCCTACTTGAAACTTTTGCAAATCCAGCATCAGCTGCCTTAGGGCGGGCGGGAGGCCCTGTTTGGACATGTGAGGGCACGACGTGTCAAATGGGAAGCAGGTGGGACATTGCCTATTTGGGATGTTCCCACCTTCGCCATGCTAAAAGTTCTTTGCTGGTAGAAAGCCAGCATATCAGGCAAAGAGAAGAGAGAAACCATTTCCCCCTGCTGTACTAGTCTTCCGGTTTGCAGGGAGCTTTTTTTAATGCTTCGCTGGCTCCTGTCGGATAAGACTGCAGAGGTTATACATTCAGTCGCTGAGTTTTGTGCATTCATTCTTAGATTGCGGGAATTGCATTTTAAAAGTTCTTAAATTTAGATTTCTGTTTTTGTATATTACTGTTTTTTTCCTCTCCCTTACCTATTATGTTTACAATGTATGTCGGTCTTAAGACCGTAATAATAAAAATAAACTAAACGCAAAGAAATCCTTCAGTGCTGGGATCCTCCTCCAGCTATAGTCTGAACCCACGTCGTCTGTTCTGCTGCCTCAGTTTGTTCTTCTGCACGTGAGACCACCTAACAGCAAGGTGCCTGGGCCCCTGCCATGCCCCCCCCCCCCCTCCTTGCAGTTTTGGGATTCCCTCCCCCCAAGCCTAAAGTCGCATTCATTTGTTTAGCCACTGAAAAGACTTGTTCCCCTTCTAACCCTTTTTGCTTCATCCAAAATTATGGCCAGCGCTGTTGTGCTCTACGTGGCCCACCTTTCTGTTTCTTCTTTGCATCAGATCTTGGTCTCCGTGGCAGTCGTCCTCCTTCCCGCCCTCCACGCTGAAGCTGGGAGGGCAAGGGAAAGGGACGATGAATAATCTAGAAAAGGGGTGTCAAACATGCAGCCTGGGGGCCAGCTTAGGCCCCCGGAGGGCTTCTATCAGGCCCGCAGTGGAACTGGCTGTCTCCTGCTTCTTCTTCCAGTTCTGCTGCTGCTGCGTCATTGTAGGTTTGCAGCTTACAGATACACACCTGGACAGCGTACTCAAGATGGCAATAGCACAGACATTTTGATGCAATAATTCAGAGCAAGAGTTATCAGTTATCAGACGCTGTTAAATAAGCAAAATATTGCAAGAGTGCTCATGTTTTGAGCGTGTTTTTATTTTTAAGTAAAAAAACCCCACCATTGTGCTTGTGTCCTTTATAAAGTTTATATCTCCACTACCTGGCATTGCATTTTATGGCACACACAGTCCGGCCCAAGGTCTCATTTATGTCAGATCCAGGCCTCATAACAAATCAGTTCGACACCCTTGATCTAGAACCTAGTCAAAATGTGGGAGGCCTTTTTAAAGGTCTGTGTTGGATAGAGGAGGAGGAGATTGGATTTCTACCCCGCCCTTCACTACCCAAAGGAGTCTCAGAGCGGCTTACAAACTCCTCTCCCTTCCCCTCCCCACAACAGACACGCTGTGAGGTGGGTGGGGCTGAGAGAACTCTGACACAAACTGCTCTTTTCCAAGGACAGCTGTGCCAGAGCTTGTGACTGACCCAAGGTCACACCAGCAGGTGCGAGTGGAGGAGTGGGGAATCAAAACCGGTTCTCCCAGATTAGAGTCCGCGCACTTAACCACGACACCAAACTGGCTCTCACACTGGGCTCCGTTTTCCGGTTCTGGTCAGCCATTCCGTTGTGAACTGCAGTCTGTCATTTCAGATGTTGCACTCAATCATGGTCAAGAGCTGCCTTAACCGTAACTTAACGCGAGACTGCATCTTCCATCGTGTCAAGTGAACAGTTCAAAAGTGTGTATCTGTGTGTTACTTTGGTTGCGCGTTTTCTGAACTTGCCAGCGCAATCAGGTTTCAAAGACGTGGATGTGCAGTGGCCGGTTTATGCCTGCTACATCAGGTGAAGGTTCCTTGTTCCAGAGAAAGAACCACTGGTAGCAGAATGGATCCCCAGGAGCCATCTGAGCCGCTGAGAGACTGAGCTGTGATGTTGGTACGCCCAGACAAAAGGTGCCTCGTGCCCTTCAAGCAGCTCTCGCAAAACCTCAGTCCTTCATCAGTATCACGGGAGAGCAGTGATGGCCTGCCTTATGGGGTCGTTGTAAGGGTTTCAACACTACAGTGTGCTTTGATCACTAAAATATCCCGTAAGCCCTGATTGCTGGACCTCCAGGAATAAAATCAAATGTTGTCTTGTTTTTTTAAAAAAATATCTTCCAGGTTATGTCAGTGGGGAGGTGGGTTTGAGAGCCAGTTTGGTGAAGCGGTTAGGAGCGCAGACTCTAATCTGGGAGAACCGGATTTGATTCCCCACTCCTCCACATGCAGCCACTGGTGTGACCTTGGGTCAGTCATAAGTTCTCTCAGGGGCTGTTCTCAAGAGAGCTCTCTCAGCCCCACCTACCTCACAGGGTGTCTGTTGTGGGGAGGGGAAAGGAGATGGTAAGCGGCTCTGAGACTCCTTCAGGTAGTGAAGGGCAGGGCGATACATCGTCTCTTCTTTGAAAGCGCAGAAACAAATATATTTTTTTTTAAAACACCCTTGTTCTAAATGTTTGGATATTGTGCTCCAACCCTCCTGGTTTCTTAAGGTCTGAGTCCATTTTAGGGTTTCCAGCTATGTCCCCTGGAATTCCTCAGAGGAGATGGGGAAGGGCAGGCCTGCTTTTTCCAAAGAGTGCTTGGCCCTTCTCTGCTGACTGGATCCTGCATTCCTCAGGTCCAGAGGTGCATCGTGGGCCTCCTAGGGTGAGCTCACAGCTCTCACACAATAGCAGGTCACACCCGTTGCCGTGTAGGAGCTCTGTGCCCTAGGACAGGTCCCAGAATTCTCTACAACTGACAGGGATTCCAGGGCAAACACAAGCCCATATAGAGGGAAGTGTCTCTGTACCAATCACCCTTGTTCTGCATGCAGGGGGGGGGGTACAGTGGGAGGAGGGTGTCCCCACATCATTGGCCCTTGCTGTGTTTTGAGAACCCCTAAGTTGAAAGGCAAGGGTGGGAGAGACAGCTTCCTGAATAAATCATTTCAACATGCCCACATACCTAGACCAGCAAAAAGCAGCGCTTCCTTTCCCCGCAGACGAGTTGATGTGGCTCATAACATGCAATAAAGGACAAAGCGTCACTGGTGCAAGAAGCAGAATATTTATTATATGATAATAGGTAAAGGAGGGAGGGAGTATTCCAATTCCTACACATTTTGTGTTAAGCTTAGTCAGGGGATCTAATTATATTATCGTCTCTCGTACCTTCCTCATCTGACCAGGGATTGGAATTTTTTTTTTAGAAAACCCTTTTCTCCTTTAAATCAATATTCTCTGTCTTGTGGCATTGCCTTCTTTTCATAACGCCCAAGCCAACTCTGTCTGGATCCAAACAACAGGGGGAAAAGACTAGTATCACAGGAGCCCCAAATATACAAATTCCTCTAGTAGAAAACACCATCAAAGACTGCCAAAACAATATACGAAACATTTATAAAGCTGGTGGTGTCACAACAACAACATTAATGCATACTGTAACTATAATAAGGCATAAGATGCAATGTTTCCTCCTTTGAAGATAAGACATAAAGTCCATGTAGGCAATGTTACTTGATAGGAGAAGTCCACATAGTTATAACATTTTCCAAACAGCCTTTGCAAAGATGCCTGTTCTGGATACTTGGAAGATGAGTTTCCTTTGACTTCTTCAGTTTGCTGGCTGTGTAAATGGAACCTGATTTCAGCAATTTCAACAGACCACAAGGTTCTTACACTAGGTTCCACTCACACAGCCGGCAAACTGAAGAAGTCAAAGGAAACGCATCTTCCAAGTATCTAGAACGGGCGTCTTTGCAAAGGCTGTTTGGAAAATGTTATAACTATGTGGACTCCTCCTATCAAGTAACATTGACTACATGGACTTTATGTCTTACCTTCAAAGGAGGAAATATTGCATCTTATGCCTTATTTTAGTTACAGTATGCATTAATGTTGTTGTTGTGACACCACCAACTTTATAATTGTTTCGTATATTGTTTTGGCAGTCTTTGATGGTGTTTTCTACTAGTGGAATTTGTATATTTGGGGACAGTGGTGTCGGGATGGCTTGTTGTGGCTTCCCCAGGCAGCCTGAGTGCCCTTGGGGTTGGAGGGCTAGCTGCCAGCAGACTTCTTTGTCCACGTGAATGCAGTCGCGTCTGGTGTCTCGCAGGGCTCTGCGTTCGAGTGCCAAGGATGGGGGAATCCCTAGGGTCACCGGAGATCCCTTCACATCGCATCTGATCTTCTGACAGCAGAGATCAATTCCCCCGGAGGAAACGGCAGTTTTGGAAGGTGGACTCCATGGCATTGTACCCTGCTGAGATCCTTCCTCAAACTTCGCCCTCCACAGGTTCCACCTCACCACTCTCTCCTTTCTTTCTGTTCCATCCGTAGGTCTCCAGCGGGAACCTTCTTGCCATCCTGAACCGACACTACCAGGACCTCTCTTGCCTGGCCTTCACAGATGACAGCAGCCACTTCCTCTCCGGGGCCAAGGACTGCCTGGTGATCGTGTGGAACCTTTGCAGGTACTGACTGGAGGGGGGGGGGGGAAATCCTTCTCCTCACCCCTTTCCCCTCGGTAGAGACACTATGTGCAAGGCTGCTTTTGTGGGTTGCCGCGTGTCTCTCTGTTTTCTGCCTACCCGCGGAGGCAATTATCACTCACCGAGAGAAGCTGGAAGCGTTTAAACCTACTTTGCTATTAATGAAATGGGTTTTTAAAGGCTTTCGATCGCTGCATGGGGCCTGGGAGACGTTCCCTGTAAATGAACGCAGGCCAAAACACTAGGCCTACACCTGATTTAAACAACGCCTCTGGTATGTGCCTAATTTATAAATCACCTGGGGCCTAGGTTTGTGCTTCAGAAAGAAGGTGTATTTTTAAATAACACTCCAGCTCTCAGTGCCAGCTGGGAAAGAATAGGGTTTCTCATCCGGAATCCCCATCTGGGGAGCCATTCAGGAGCTTCCTCCCACGCCCCCCCCCCCCCCCCCCCCTTTGGTTATTTTGCTGCCGGGGAAGAGCAAAAGCCGGTCCCCCACAGCTGAACCTGTGACACCCGACTGCAGGCAGTCCAGCCAGCAATGTTCTGTCCCATAAAACAAAACTGGGGAGAAACTGGGGAGAAAGGGCGCAGTTCTGAAAAACCTTCACCCGGGACAACAAAATGAGGACAGTGGGTATTTTACAGCCCTGGGCGTGGAGCGCCAGACACTCTCATCGTTGCTTCCCTGTTGCAAATGTGACTTCAGCGTCATCCGTATTTCCTCGTTCTGCGTAAGGACAGGGCTCTCTTGTGGTCTTCTTGAGAGGAAGGAATTAATTAGAATTCAGATTGTGAAATACGGGTATCTCTGATGGTGGGAACACGTGGAATTCACTGCTGCAGGTGGTGGCGACAAGCTGAGACAGGTTCAAGAGGGGACTGGATGAACATACGGAGCAGAGATCCGTCTGTGGTTATTAGCCACAAGGTATAGGGGCTAAAGGGGTTAAGACGCTGAACTGCAGGCTGTGGAAGATCAGTAGTTCAGCAGTTCGAGACCGGGGTGCCGCATGACGGAGTGAGCTCCCGTCTCTAGTTCCAGCTCCTGCCAACCTAGCAGTTTGAAAGCAAGAAATTGCAAGTAGATAAATAGGGACCACTTCGGTGGGAAGGGCTCCTGATGGCACCGGGGTTTTGGCCACTGTGTGATGCTGAAGGTTAGATCCAACATCGGCTTATCTTATGTTCTTATGTGTGGGGCAAGGGATGCTCTGTGTTCTTGGTGCTTGGGGGGGGCAACAGTGGGCGGGCTTCTGGAGTTCTGGAATCACTGCTGGACCCTCCTGATGGCCCCTGGTGTTTTTGGCCACTGTGTGACGCTGTGGGTTAGACTAGATGGGCCATTGGCCTGATCCAACGTGGCTTCTCTTTTGTTCTTATTGTCATTAGCCACCAGGTATAGATGGAACCCTCTGTCTGGGGCAATGATGCTCTGTATTCTTGGTGCTTGGGGGGGGGCTTCTGGAGTTCCAGCCCTGCTGGTGGACCTCCTGGTGGCACCTAGGTTTTGGCCACTGTGTGACACAGAGTGCCGGACTGGATGGGCCACTGGCTTGACCCAACATGGCTTCTCTTACTTTCTTATGAGTGTTCTTTCCTAGCATTCCTACCAGACATCTCTCTCTTTTTTAAAACAACAAGGTTCCCAGAAGTGAGCCCTGGTACTTTTTTACACCTGTGTGTGCAGCTGAGTTCATGCAAGTTGCTAGTCCACAAATTCCATCCATCTGTCCGCACAGACTTCAGTCAGCCACCTACCCATGGCCTGAAAGATTGGGTCGGCAGCTTCGGCAGTTGGAGTGCACACCCTTTTTTTCTGGAAATAAGTATTCTGCCTCTAGTTATAGCCAGGCTTGACTACCACAATGCACTGTGCTTGGGCCTGCCTGTAAATTTCACTTGCTTTCGAATACGTCAGCCGAGTTGTTCACTGTGGCTGGCCGTAGTGATTGCATCGCCCCACTGCTGAAAGATTTTCACAACGGGACCGTAGAGATATTGAGTACAAGAACAAAATACACCGTGGAGAGCAGAAATTACTCAAGGTCAGATAACACTCAAGTGCTACTTAGAATCATAGAATGTGAGAGTTGGAAGGGACCTTGCATGTCGTCTAGTCCAACCCCCTGCACTCTGCAGGAGCACAGCTGAAAGACAGCCCTACAACATACCCGAAAGATGGTCGTCCAGCCTCCGCTTGAAAACATCCAGCAAAGGAGCATCCACCACTTCCCAAGAAGAAGAAGAGATTAGATTTATACCCCGCCCTTCACTTGGAGTCTCAAAGCGGCTTACAAACTCCTTTCCCTTCCCCTCCCCACAACAGACACCCTGTGAGGTGGGTGGGGCTGAGAGAACTCTGACACAAACTGCTCTTTCAGGAACAGCTGTGCCAGAGCTTGTGATTGACCCAAGGTCACATCAGCAGGTGCAAGTGGAGGAGTGGGGAATCAAACCCGGTTCTCCCAAATTAGAGTCCACACACTTAACCACTACACCAAACTGGCTCTCAAGGCAGTCTGTTCCACTGCTCGACCACTCTTACAGTTAGGAAGTTTCTCCTGATATTTAGCCGGTATCGACTCCCTTGTAATTGCCACCCATTAGATCCAGTCCTGCAATCCGGAGCAAGAGAGAATAGATCTGCTCCATCTTCTACAGGACAGCCCTTCAAATACTTGAAGACTGCAATCATGTCCCCTCTAAGCCTTCTTTTTCCCAGGCTAAACATACCCAACTCTTTCAGCCTTTCCTCATAAGACTTGGATCCCAACCCTCTCACCATCCTGGTTGCCCTCTTCTGGACACGCTCGAGCTTGTCAACGTCCTTCCTAAAATGTGGTGCCCAAAACTGGACACAGTACTCCAGGTGAGGCCTGACCATAGCAGAATAGAGCGGAACGACCACCTCCCGTGATCTGGACACAATGCTTCTGTTCATGCATCCTAAGATTGCATTAGTTTTCTTCGCAGTCACATCGCACTGCAGGCTCATGTTTAGCTTGTGATCAAGCAGAACACCTAGATCCCTTTCACATGTGCTGCTGTGCTACTTAAAGGCATATGTCTCAACTACAATTAATGAAAGAATCATACATATAGAATGTAAATCTTTTAGTATGATCCACATATTACTTATTAAAGTGCTGAGGCTTTGAAACAAACACACAAGTACAGTTATACACAGAGACCTTCCTAGAGCGAGACCAGTAAACGGGCTGCATGCAGGTCCTTGAAAACAACTGTTACCTTCTTTACTGCTTCTTAGTTCCCAGACTTTCTTCCCTGCAGCCCTGAAAGTTTGGAAACTAAGAAGCAGTAAAGAAGATAACAGTTGTTTTCAAGGACTGCATGCAGACCGTTTACTGGTCTCGCTCTAGGAAGGTTTCTTTGTGTCTCTTGTCAACCGAAAGGAGTGCAAATGAGCCCACATGGGAGTACGGTAAGACATGCAAACTATGTAAACTTTGTGGTTCCGTAAGAATATATTGGCTCTGAAGAAGAAGAATCGAAACTCTCTCGGCCGAAAAGAGACGTCAGCCAGTTTTCTTAGCCTCCCTGCAGACCTGAAAGTTCGGAAACTGTATTTTGAGATACATGCCTTTAAGTAGCCCTCGAGTATTATCTGACCTTGAGTGATTCGTGCTCTCCACGAAAGATTTTCACTATCTGCAAGTTGGATTCCCAGCTCAATTCAAGGTGCTGATCTCGTGTCACGGGCAAGGATGATGATGAGCCGACAGAGCCTGCAGAAACCACAGCTGGCCCCTCTGAAGCAGCAGAGGAGGGTAGCTGGCAAGTGCCTGTAACCGCAGTCTTCACACCTGGCCCAGATAAGAAGGAAGAACTGCAAGCTGAAAGTCCTCCTGACTCACCCCCACGTGTGACTCGTTTAAGCGAGCGACCGCGGCAAAGCTTAGCAACCAGACGAAGAGAGGCCAGGCTACAAGGGAGATGCTCCCTTTGGACTGGCACCCCAGCCCGTGACATGTCGACCTACAGAGCTCTGAAAGGTCAGGGAAGAGGAGTCTGTAGGGTTGTCTGCTCCCGCATGAGTCTGCCTGAGAACTAGACCAGGGTTCCCCAACCTTTCTGAGCCTGCAGGTAGCTTTGGAATTCTGGCACAGTGTGGTGGGGCACGGCCGCAAAATGGCTGCCGCCGGAGAGGGAGCCAGCTACAAAATGGTTGCCGCAGCTTACCTTCACTCTCACGGGGAAGACCCTTGTGTTGTTTTGGTGGCAGCTGCCGCCAAAGCCATGTTTTTTTAAAAGTCTGCATAGCCAATCAAATGCCCAGAAGCCTTGCTGGGCAAAAGCCCCACATGGCCTGGCCCACTTTTCTCAAAATACCTGGTGGGTGCCAGAAAAGGTGCCTGTGAGAGTCTCTGGGCACCACGTTGGGGACCCCTGGATGAGACACTCTTCCCAAGCCCTCTTGTGGATGCCCGGCTCTCAGAGGCGACGCAGGCCGGAAAGGAGGAGGCCGGTCCTCCGTGCTCGTTCAGTCCTCCGGCTCCGTCGATCCCGTTGGGAAGGGCTGGTGAAAAAGGCTGGAGTCATTGAACAAGAACAAGAGAGCCAGGCTCCCCAAGGTTCGAATAAAGATCACTGGGTGGCGCCGGCTGCCAGTATTTCTCCACCAGAGTAGATATTCTGTTCATGTTGTGCTGCAGCAGTCATTCCGATTTTGGCGCTTCAGCAAATGTTTGATCGCGTTTGGCACTCCAGATCTCACAGTGTGATTTCTTCGTCCCCTCTGTTGATTCTCCTCTCCACAAGCCATATTTCTGTATAAATGTTCTTTTAAAAAAAACCCAATCCACTCAAAGTAGAATATTGCCTCTCAAACGTCCGAAGCCGGCTTCCCTCTTCTTATTTTGAAGGGGGGGGGAGACCCTTTGATTTTAGTGTGTGCGGGAGTAAGAGCTGTGGCCAGTGTTCCCTCTAAGCTGAGTGAGTGTGAGCCAGCTCACCGTTTTTTAGCCTCCGGCTCACACATTTTCGTCTTCGCCCGGGAAGGAGGGCTCCAGAGCAAACTGACTGATGCAGCAGCCCAATCGCATGCTCGCCACTTTAATGCCAGCAGCTCACAAAGTGGAATTTTTGCTCACAAGACGCCACAGCTTAGCGGGAACATTGGCTGTGGCTGAGGGAAGTCTGATCCCCGTGTGAGTCACTGATCTGTTGGGAAGGAGGCATGCTCAGAGCAGTGAGTCCTACGGAGGTGTGGTATTTTCAAGGGTGGCAGGTTCTGCCGTCTCTCTGCATTGGGAATGAAGGGGCCGTGATGTACAGGCAGTGGAGTCTGGTTAGGAGGAGGAGGTCCAGGAAACTAAACCATGCAGAGATGCAGCGGGCAGACTCCTTTGTAGGAGGTTACTTGAGGGGGTGGGTCGCACAAACCTCCCATGGTTGGTTTTGTTTCCCACAGCAGAAGTCCCGCGCCCTGCACAGTCTGGGAATTGCTTCTCTGAGACGCTACAACTAGAGGGCTTTTTATCACCTCTTCCCACCGTTCTCTGCACGCTCCTGCAGTCATTGTCGACAGCTTCTGAAAGATTTGTCTTCTGAGCTCCACCTTGCAGCCTCTGCTTTAATAAAAACAACTGAAGAAGAGCGTACGAACATCTCGAGTGGTTGTTCGTTTCGAGACAACTCTTTCTCAACCAAAATTCAGTTCTCTGGTTGTCTTATTATATTTAGCAGTGATGTCAATCTTATCCAACAACAGTTTTAACAGCACGTGGGCTAACAAGTTTCAAACACGGACAACACGCCTTGAGATTTTGCTCTTAAAACTGTTGTTGGATAAGATTGACATCACTGCTAAATATAATAAGACAACCAGAGAACTGAATTTTGGTTGAGAAAGAGTTGTCTCGAAACGAACAACCACTCGAGATGTTCGTACGCTCTTCTTCAGTTTTTGACGTCCTGTGTTCTGAAAACATGAAAATATAGAATACTAACATCACTCAACGTCATTTGTAACAAGTTGATTTTTGTCTCTTTATTACTTGTGAACTCTGCAGCAATTTCTTTCATTTTTTTGTACATCTTTGAATTGCTGGTCCCCCTTGTAATTTTTTTTTAATAAAAACAACAACAGCAACCAAAGTCTCTCCATCTGTTCTGTGCTGAGGGATTCTCTCTCTGTGTTCTCATATGTAGCGTGCTGCAAGCAGAGCATGGCCAAAGTCCGGAGCCCCGCCACGTGTGGTCGCGACACAGCCTTCCCATCACGGACCTCTGCTGCGGGGTCGGCGGCCCCATGGCACGGGTCGCCACGGCCTCCCTAGACCAAACAGCCAAGGTAAGGAGGCCAGGGCGGCGTGGCACAGGCGGACTGGTGGAAGGGAGCTCTCATGTCGTTCAAGGCACATCTCTTTATGTGGACAACCGTGGCTGATAGTTGCCGCCTTGAGATTTTGATCGGACGGGGTGAGACGTCAGCGGCTCCTGTTCTTCTATGACTAACTTGACACCAACGCTCCCTCTAAGCTGTGGAGTCTTGTGAGCAAAAATTCTACTTTGTGAGCTACCAAAATTAAAGCTGTGAGCGAGCGATTTGGCTACTGGATAAATTAGTTTGCTCTGGAGCCCTCCTTCCCGAGCGGAGACAGAAATGTGTGAGCCGGAGGCTAAGAAACTGTGAGCTTGCTCACGCTAACTCAGCTTAGAGGGAACACTGCTTGGCACAGCCTCGTTCCATTGGTCATAATCAGTGTTCCCTCTAAGCCGAGTTAGTGTGAGCCAGCTCACAGTTTCTAAGCCTCCGGCTCACACAGTTTCGTCTTAGCTCGGGAAGGATGGCTCCAGAGCAAACTGATTCATGCAGTAGCCAAATCGCTTGCTCACTTTAATGCCAGCAGCTCACAAAGTAGAATTTTTGCTCACAAAGACGCCACAGCTTAGAGGGAGCCTTGGTCATAATGGTATTTTTGGCAAGTGGTTGAACTTCCCTCTACAAAATCCAACTTCAGATCTTTTATGTACAAGCTGGGGAGCCCGTGAGGAACCGTGGTGGTGTGAATAACTGGAATGTCACTTCGTCCTTTGAAATCTCCGTCCAGGATTCTCTAAGCTCTCTGATGCTTTACCAGGCTGATCTCTTCTCGCCCCCCCCCTTCCCCCTCTTTTCCCAGTCCTGTGATCTTCCACACCTTCCCTCTTGGAGTAGAGATATAGCATTTCCAGAAATTTCGAAGGTATCAGAAAAAAACTAGATTTTTCCCCAAGGAATAAAAGGGCATTTGGGTGGGGGGAATTGGAATACTAGGGGCCGCGGTGGCTCAGAGGTTAAGAGACTGAGCTGCAGACTGGAAGGTCTGTAGTTTGGCCGTTCGAGACCCGAGTGCTGCAAGACGGAGTAAGCTCCCGTCTGTGGCCCCAGCTCCTGCCAGCCTAGCGGTTCGAAAGCAAGAAGTTGCAAGTAGATAAATGGGTACTGCAGCGTTCCGTGCGCCTTGGCGTTTAGTCATGCCAGCCACATGACCGCGGAAATGTCTTCGGACAGCGCTGGCTCTTTGGCTTGGAAATAGAGATGAGCACCACCCGCTAGAGTCAGATTCGACTGGTTTCCAAGCAAGGGAAACCTTTACCTTTACCTTAATTGAAATACTATGCAATACTTGTTTGCTGAGCAAACCAGACCTTATTTTGGTGCTATAATAGCATGAAGTGCATCATTTATAATTTAGTCGGTATGTACAATTGAACTATTTGCCATGTTTATGGAATTTAAACGTATGAAATACCTTTGTTTTCTGTAAGAAGAATTGCAGGTTTACCCAGGTCTTGCAAACTGCCTCACCCCACGCGTCTGTAGCTCGTGTAGCTTACATTTTTGCTATTGAGAGTAAAAGCGGCTGGTACAAAACAAATTTTGTAGTGAACAAAAGAAAGTGTCTTCTTTGGACAGAAACACTCTCAGAGTCACAATAAGTCGGATTACCGGCTTGTTTGAATATTAAGCTAAACTTTATAACACTGAAGACATTGAATTGTTTAATGTATCATTCAGTGCTTTATAGCGTGTTGTTACCAAGTATTATTTATATTTAAAACAAAAAAAAATCCTGTAACTGTTGTACATCTACGATATGCTTTCCCAAATCTCCCTGATTTCTGTTGGAAAATGCTTATCGGCTACTTCGAGTGTGAGAAGCTTTGCCTTTAGAAGCATTTTACTATTCTAAAACGGAGGAAAAATTCATGTGAGTTTTCAGTGTTCCCCCCAGATTTTCCTATTTTTTTTACCCTAAAGGCCTCAAAAAAAAAAAGGACCCCACCCCCATTTCTTTCTTCTTCTTTCCAAATCTCCGCATCTCTGTCCGAGAACACGCTGAGGCCTCATCAGGCAGGTATTTTTCTCGTCAGTGTCAAGTTTTTTTCCGCATAGCTGGGGAATCCAGCGTGTAAAAAGGACTTCGGTCCCTCTTTGCCTGGCCTCATCTGCTTGCCAGCCTGTAGATGCGGGGCTCCTCCTCAGAGCTCAAAAGGCAGCATCCGCATCAGTCGTCCTTGCGAGAGCCCCGCGGGGAAAGCTGCCACCGTATCTCTTGGGCAACTGGAGTCCGACAAGACGAGCCTGAGAGATTAGGAGCTCCTGGCACTAGCCACCAGGGGATGTAAACTCTCACCTTTCATTCGGCTCAAAGCTTGTGCTTTTATCATTCCCCTTTTCATCCTTGCTTTCCTGCAGTAAAGCTCATGCTGCACACGTCATTCTCCATTCCCCGTCTCACCCACACAACAAGCCTGTGAGGTAAATTAAGCGCGAGTGTGTGTGACTAGCCCAGAGCAACTTGGGGGGGGGGGGCTTTCTAGAAGGGTACAGATATACACTGTGGCCTCTATTCCCACCCCACCTGAGGAGTCGATAAGCATAGATTGCACTAACGGTAATCATTCCTTGGTTTTCGGTTCCTCGGCAGCATCTTTGTACCGTGTACAATTCTGGTCGCCACACCTCAGAAAGGACGTTATAGCATTGGAGAAAGTGCAGAAAAGGGCAACTAGAATGATAAAAGGGTTGGAGCACTTTCCCTGTGAAGAAGGGTTAAAGCGCTTGGGGCTCTTTAGCTTGGAGAAACGTCGGCTGAGGGGTGACACGATCGAGGTCTATAAGATTATGCATGGGATAGAGCAGGTCAAGAAAGGAGTACTTTTCTTCCTTCCTCACAATACAAGAACTCGTGGGCACTCCATGAAATTGCTGAGCATTCGGGTTAGAACGGATAAAAGGAAGCACTTCTTCACCCAAAGAGTGATTAACATGTGGAATTTACTGCCGCAGGAGGTGGTGGCAGCTACAAGCATGGGCAGCTTCAAGAGGGTATTGGATAAACATATAGAGCAGAGGTCCATCAGTGGCTATTAGCCACAGTTTATAGATAGGAACTCTCGGTCTGGGGCAAGTGATGCTCTGTATTCTTGGTGCTTGGGGGTGGGGCAACAATGGGAGGGCTCCTAGTGTCCTGGCCCCACTGCTGGACGTCCGGATGGCACCTGGGTATTTTTGGCCACTGTGTGACACAGAGTGTTGGACTGGATGGGCCACTGGCCTGATCCAACATTGGCTTCTCTTACGTTCTTATGTTTTTACCTTTCAATGAGAGCGTTTAACTGGCTGCGTAGGAAACACCTCTGCACTGCACTGTCTCTGTGGCCGCCATGCTGGATGGTGGGATTTCACCAGCTGAAAATTCTTGGTTAATCCTGGTTCTCCTGTTGTCCTCCTTTAGCTCTGGGAGATCTCGTCAGGGGACCTTCTCCTGTCTGTCGTCTTCGATGTGGGCATTATGTCAGTGACCCTTGACCTCACCGAGTATTTTATATTTTGCGGTGGCATGGATGGCTCCATTTTCCAGGTTGACCTGTGCTCCTGGGTAAGTCCTTTTTTACGTTATTTGCTTGATGTATGCCCGAAAGAGGGATCCAGTGTTCCCTCTAAGCTGAGTCAGTGTGAGCTAGCCCACAGTTTTTTTAGCCTCCAGCTCACAGATTTTTGTCTTAGCTCAGGAAGGAGGGCTCCAGAGCAAACTCCAGAGCAGTCGCCAGATCACTCGCTCACCACTTTAACGCCAGGAGCTCACAAAGTAGAATGTTTGCTCACAAAACTCCGTAACTTAGAGGGAGCATCGCTGACATCATTCTCTTCTCCTCCATTTTATCCTCACAACAGCCTTGCGAAGTAGGTCGGGCTGAAAGCAAAGAACTGGCCCAGGGTCACCCAGTGAGCTTCCCCAGCACTCTAGCTGCTACAGCACACTGGCTCTGCTGGTAGCAGATGCTTTACAAGTGTAAAGACTGGTCCTTCTGGCTAGAGAAGGGAGAGCAGTCTCTTGGTATGACGGGAGCACCTTTTCATGCAGATCTTCTCACTCCTAGAATTTAAGAGGGATACAAAGTAGGGATGGTCAGACACCTGCCATTGTGGCCCACTTCCCGTTCGCCGGCAGTGATCAGGTAGCCAGTTATTTAGCAGGCTGTTTGCAACCTGTTTATGTGTATTTGCAGTCCTCAGCAGCTGACTCTCAGCTGATGAGGGGGGTCACCTGGGAGTCAGCTCCTGATTTCCTGCTGGGGAGATGTTGCCTTGTCCGGGGCGGAGTTTGAGGGAGGGATCAGGACCCAGCACCCGGGTGATCAGCTGGAAGTCCGGTTCTTTCAGACTCCTATCCTGGAAACTTTGCTGCCTCCCAGTCCTTCTGAGATGCAGGAAATGTTAGTGCAGGGGGTGATCCCACTGGTATCCCTTCTCTTCTCCCCGGTTCAAGTTGTCAGGTTTGGGGTGGATGCAGAGAAAAGGAGAGAAATGAGCTCTTTCTCCTCTCGTAATGGAGAGATCAGAAGCATTGCTTCTGTGTCTTCCCAGCCAGAGGCGGGCGGAAGAGAAACGAGCTCTTTCTTCTCTCCCTTTTTTGCCGCTTCATTGTGTCATTGTTTTGCTGGGGTGTGGGTTGGATCAGACCCCAACTCTCAGCTGATCTCTCAATCGGCCGTGAGTCAGCTTCCGACCAACAGGCAGCTGCAGACTTCCTATCCAGCGGCTCTTCCATTTGGTCAGTGCCACCTGAATACAGCCCCAGTCGGACCAATCTGCTTGTAAGCATCAGACAGGATCAATTCGAGTGCAAACAGGCTTGGGGAGAAATTCGCAGCACCCCTAGCAGAGAGTGTTTATCACCATTGTATTTGAGCCTTGCTTTAAAATCCCAGATCCTTAAAACCGCAGTGTAGTCACCTTGGGGGCATTTCAGCCATATGTGGCTAGCTGGCTGTGAGAGCCAGTTTGGTGTAGTGGTTAAGTGCGCTGACTCTAACCTGGGGAAACCGGGTTTGATTCCCCACTCCTCCACTTGCACCTGCTGGATGACCTTGGGCAAGCCATAGTTCTGGCACAGCTGTTCTTGAAAAAAGAACAGTTACTGTCAGAGCTCTCTCAGCCCCACCTCCCTCACAGGGCGTCCTACTCCTCCTCCTTCTTCAGACAGTTTGGTGTAGTGGTTAAGTTTGGTGTAGTGGTTAAGTGTGCGGACTCGAATCTGGGAGAACCGGGTTTCATTCCCCACTCCTCCACTTGCACCTGCTGATGTGACCTTGGGTCAGTCACAAGCTCTGGCACAGCTGTTCCTGAAAGAGCAGTTTTGTGTCAGAGTTCTCTCAGCCCCACCCACCTCACAGGATGTCTGTTGTGGGGAGGGGAAGGGAAAGGAGATTGTAAGCCGCTCTGAGACTCCAAGTGAAGGGCGGGGTATAAATCCAATCTCTTATTCTCTTCCTCTTCCTCTTCGTATTCTTCTTCTTCCAAGCTTAACCACAGTTTGTTTTCCTTGACTGTACCTGACTGTTAATGTCTGGACATTTAAACAGTGAGTAAGGATGGATGTTAGGGGAGTTTTCAAAACTCTAGTGCCTCCCCCTTTGAGTTCAATCTGGGAGAGAAAAGATTCAAGGCTTTTCAGTAACAAAGCACGGCAGTTTCATCAAGAATTATCATTTTGAGGCAAGCAAGAACAGATCATGCCCGCATACTGAACAAAATTCAAAGCTCTTCCTATATAGGATGAGATTAAACGGCGAGGTCAGGGCCTGCTGTTTGAAAAAGAGTCCAGCCATTCCGCTCTCAAAGATAATTCACTCCGCCCTCTGTTTAGAGGACATTCTACATTCCTAAGAGGAACATAAGGAAAAGAAACCTATGCCCTTTTCCCTGAAAGATAAGGATGGCACCGACCCTTGCCTGAGATATGGTTGCTTAGAGATCAGGAGGTTAAAAAACAGATTTGGGGTCAGGATGAAGGGAAGGGCAAGAACATCCTAAAATGTAGCAAATCAGTCTGAAAGGCAACAGACCAAGGCTTTAGGTTCACTAATCGAAGATGTTGCAAAGATCTTAAATCTTTGCTGAATTCTTGATGGTGAAATAAAATACTTTAACAGCGGGCTGCAACTGAGGAGGTAAAACGGTGCATGGCATTAACCCAGCCGAGTCTTAATGTTGCCCTGGGCAAACCATGCTGTAGGCAGCTTTTCCTGCCGGTCTGCTTGCAAGGAGACAAGACCCAGTGGGTATCCCTGGCGACCTGCGCTACACTCCCTGCCTGGCTTCTAGGTTGGCAAGCTAAACCCGGGATTTTGCTTTCCGATTGGGATCGTATCCAGAGTTCGAGCGGCCGGCCATGGCTGACTGTCGTTGCTGCAGTGGCTTTGAATGGCTGGCGGTCACCGGTTGTCCCTGCCAAGCTCTTTGCCGCAGCCTCTCTTTTGAAAGCGGGCTTTGGCTGTAGTGTCGCGCAGCTGCTGCGCCAAATAGCGGCACTCCTGTCGAATGGCTCCCACATGCCAAAATGCAGCACTGGCGCTTTGTGCCGGGTTGCCCCCGCACGGCTGGGACTTCCCAGAGGAGGACGGATTTCAGCCACGGTCCAGTTCTTTGCACGGAGGGCGATGGGCCCTGTTGT